CACCAAACCATATTTTCCAACTACTGGTCCTTTCACTTTATTTCAAACTTTTGTATTACAATCACCAATGATGATCAATGCATCTTGATTGCTTCTTTGGTAAGTTTCAGACCAACAAATTTGACAGAATTCTTCAGTGTCTTCATCATTATGTGCCTGGTGCATAAATCTGAATAATATTGGTGTTATCTGGTCTTCCTTGTTGGTGAATCAGAGACAGCATTGTACTTCAAGATAGATATTAAAATTATCTTTTTGACAATGAATATGATGCTATTTCTCTAATTTATTATACCTAGCATAGAAAACCATGTGATTGCCCAATTCAAAATGGCCATTACCAGTCGATTTCTGCTCATGAATGCCTGCCCCTAGTGTGGTGCTGTAGGATAAGCACTGGACTGGTAGCCACAGAGTCAGTAGTTCAAGCACACCGGTCACTCTTGGAAACCCTATACAGGTTCATTGTGAGTCAGAACTGACTCGATAGCAAACAACAACAGTGTCTAGGATATCGATCTTTAAGCATTCCATTTCAATTTTTAGAACTTTCAGTTTTCCTACATTCATTCTTTATACATTCACAGTTTGAATATTAATGGATGCTTACTGTTATTTCTTTTTTGAGTTATTCCCCATCAGCAAATCAAAGTCCTGAAAACTTTGCTCTATTCATGTCATTAAGGCCAATTTCAATTTGTGAAGGTAGCTTTTCTCCAGATGTATTTTGAATGCTCCATAGGGACTTATGTTTCTGACAATTTATCAGACAAAGTTCTGTTGCTTCTCATAACGTTATCAATGGCTAAACTTTAGAAAGTGGTGTCTCTCCTTCCTAGTTTGTTTTAGTCTGGAAGCTCCACTAACATCTGTCTACCATGGGTGGTCCTGCTGGTATTTAAAATGCTGGTGGCATAACTTCCAGCATCACAACAACACACAAAACACCACAGTATGACAAAAAGACAGACACATGGTAGGGTTTAGCAGATAAGGTGTAATAAATCCCCATGATGAAATCTAATATGATGTAACAACTTCACCCATAATTTGATCTGATGTAATTATCCTATGTGTTGTAACTCCTTACTTCTCTGATATCAAAGGAGTCCTGGTGTAGTGCTGTGGGTTAATGCACTGAACTGCAAGGTCAGTTTGAACCAAAAGGTTGGCGGTTCAAACTCACCAGCCGCTCCTCAGAAACCCTATATAGAGTTGCTATGAATCAGAACCTACTTTATGGCACTTAACAATAACCATGTGATGTCAGTGAGGCCAGATGCAATTTGCATGATTACCTTGTATCTTAAGTCAGTCTCTTTTGATATTCAAAAGGAGAGAGAATTGAGTAGGAAAAGAGGACCCTTCTACCACCAAGAAATAAATGCCAGGAGTAGAAGGTGTCCTTTGTTCTTGAGTCCCTACACTGTGAAGCTCCTAGATCTAGGGAAAGATAGATGCCAAGACACATGGAGAACTCCAAGGAATTCTGGACCTACAGATGCTAAAAAGAGACAAGGACATTTCTCCAGAACTGGAGCTCTGAATTCATACTTCCATCCTCTTAAACAGTGAGAGAATTTTTTTTTTGTGTTAAAGTTTTGTTTGTTAAAGCCATCCACTTGTGGCATTTCTGTTATAGCAGCACTAGAGGACCACGGTATGATGTTAATGGTATTATTTGATAATTTTCGCATTCTGTTTGATCACCTCTCTTTGGAATGGTCACAGATATGGCTGTCTTCCAGACCAGGTAGCTGTTTTCCAAATTTCCTGATCTAGATTAGTGAGCGCTGCCAGTGTTTCATTTGTTTATTGAAACATTTCAATTGGTATTGCATCAATACCTGTAGCCTTGTTCTTTTCTGGCAAATGCCTTAAGTGCAACTTGGACTTACTCTTTCAATATCAGTAGTTTTTGATCATATGAAACCTTCTGAAATGGTTGAACATCGCCCATTGTTTTTGGTGCAATTACTCTGTGTTCTGGTCATCTTCCCTTGATACATCCTGTATCATTTAATGTCTATGGGCAAGATTTATACAGTAGATAACAAAACAAAAACAAAATCACTATTATTGATTGTTAAAGAGCTCTGGAAGCATAGTGGTTACGAATTGGGCTGCAAGCCTCAAAGTCAGCATTTCAAAACTACCAACAGTTCTGCGGGAGAAAGATGAGGCGGTCTGCTACTGTAAAGATTTACAGCCTCGGAAACCCTGTGTAAGGTCGCTATGAGTCGGAACCGACTCCATGGCACATAACAACAACAACAACAACAACAACATTAACAGGGAGTCCCTGGATAACACACACAAGTAAGCACTAGGTTGTATCTGCTAACTGAATAGTTGGAAGCTTGAGTCTAACCTAAGTTGCTTTGGAGGAAAGTCTGGAGATCTACTTCTAAAAAAGCAGACAATGACAACACTATGAAGCTCAGTTCTACTCTGATACACATGGGGTTGACTGATTGCAACTAGAAGGAAGGAGTGTTAGCAGAGGTATTTTTTATTAACATTGAAAATGGAGCAGTAAATTAAAGGGAAGAGTTTATCTGGTGACTATAGATGGAATCTATCTGTTGTACAGACTAAATTAGATAAATCTTGACCCACAGAAGGACCTACAGTAAATTAAAAACTAGTTTATTGCCTCCAGATTTGCCCATTACAGTTCATCCCTCATACAACATCCCAGATAGTTTATTTTTTCCCTCCCTTTTAATATAAATCATATCATGTCATTCTCCTGCTTAAAATTCTTAGTGGTTTTTCATTATTTAAATGACATTCAAATTTCCCAGCATCACTGTCAAAGTCTTCCATTATTTGGCCCTTGTTCTCCTCTTTGACATTCACTTAGACCACTTACTTCTTTGCTTTCAGCTTTGAAATCACACCTATCTACCCCTCTTCTTTTGAATCTCACCTCCATTTTTACCTTCTTAGACTAGACTATCCTTGATCACCCTATCTGCAATCACGTTTTGTTAATTCTCTATAACATTAACCTAATTTTGTTTCTTTGACTTAACACTCTAAGAAATGATCATGCTTAGTTGTCTATTTTTTTCATTTTGTCTTTAATCCATTGCTGTTGAGTTGAATCCAACCTAATGCAACCCCAAGATATATAGTAAAATTGTTTTTACTACCAGAATACAAAGCTTTTGCAGACAGAGGCTGTATCTGCCCTGTTCAGTATTCTATCTTAATATCCAGAACTTTGGTTGTCATGAGGGTTCAAGTGCTACAGTCATTAGCTTCTTGTTGTTGTTTTAAGTGCTGTTGAACTGGTTCCAACTCATAGTGACCCTGTATAGGGTTTCCGAGGAGCAGGTGATAAGTTTGAACCATGGACCTTGTGGTTCAAACCAACTTTGAAGTCTTACGCTTATTCTATGACGCCACACCAGGACATGAACAAAGGATGTTAATTCTTTGACAATTATGGGTTGTAATTCTAGCTGTCTCATTTATCAGCTGTATGATTTTGGGATAACAGAATTTAAAGTCCTTAAATTTAAGTTTTCTTATCTGTAACATTCAGATAATATCTTTTTTGCTGTAAATATTAAATAGACTGCATATAAAAATATAACACATATATAGAACATCTATTGTTTGTTGTTATTAAGTGCTGTTGAGTCAGTTCTAACTCATAGCAATCCTGTATAGAATTTCCGAAAGTGACTGGTGGGTTTGAACTGTTGACCTTGTGTATACCTCCACCAAATAATTTGTGTTTGTTAGTTGCCACAGAGTCAACTCTGACTTGTGGTAACATTGTATAATGGAATATAATGGTGCATGACCTTGCAACATCGTCATGATCTTTGGTATGTTTGAATCCATTGTTGCATCTATTGTATACTGTCTTCTCACCAGGGGCTTAATTTACAGGATTGTATTGGGTAAATATTCTGCTGTAAACTATAGGATTTTCCTGGCTAAGTTTTAGAAGTAGATTGCCTGGTCTTAGACTGGAAGTGCCATTGAAACCTGTCCAGTAGGAGTGATATTTGAAATGCTGATATTTCAAATTGTCCTGATATTTGAAATACTGGTGGCATAGCTTCCAGCAATAAACTCACAGAAGAGTGTTGTTCACTTAGCATAGCAACTTCTTATGAGATAAGTGCATGATAGAATCTCCACTTAGCTGCTGACAATCAGGATATCTGGTAGCCTTTATACTCCCTACATCAGGTACAACAAACATTAACAGCTGTCATTTTCAAATGGTTGATTATTCTAAGGAGTATACCGTGCTAATATTATTGTTCCTCTTATGTTGGTGCTGTTAAGTCATGTTCTCCTTATAGACCTGTCTATTGTTTGACTGAAAATTGAGCTGTAGGATGAGTTTATATCAAGGCCTGAAGAGTGACTAAGGGTAATAGCTGTCATTGTGTCCTCAGGACCATTCTAAAATATGTATTCAGGTATGCCACTTAGGACATTCATGTCTCTTCTTATTCTGTTGAAGCACTGCTCTTGTTATTGGTTGTAGATGTATGTATTCAGAAGTCCAAAGGAATCCCTATAGAATTCCATTGTGTCCTGAAGACATCAGAAAAATGGCTCTGAAAGTCTGAAACCCTTCTTCTTCAGGTAGTGTCGGACTAGGAGTCTGGCAGTCCTTCTTACTCTTACGTTATGACCTGGATACACGTCACTTCCATAGAAAAAATTCCTGTTGGTACAAATAACTATAAAGTCTATAATTTGTTAGTATTTACCAAGTGTCAAATGTGTTCAGGGTCATAACAGATTTACTTAACTCATAGTCTTCTTACCTCCTACAGTGTAATACTGCTAAAATCATGCTCAGAGATTATGGAGTCTGACAAGAATCCTTATCTCAGGGGTGACCAAAAAGGCATGAACTGTTCCTAATGTACTGAGATCTATATGAGGCCCTGACAACTGGACCTCTGACTACTATACAATGACTCATAATGTTTAATCACCTTAAGTATCTTTACTGATTACAGAGGAAGCTTCAGACATTATTTATTTTGGAACATCCAAAAAACGGTTATCAAACTTCAAGTTCATTGGACAGTATGGCAATGGTCTTAAAAGGTGAGCTTGCTTTTCCCTTTTGGCATATCTTATTGATATTGGTAACTAAATTTAGTTAAAGGCAATCTCGTTCAGAATAATCTAAGTATGTAGAACTTGGAAAAGAATAGCAACCTGGGGTATTCATTTTAGCTGAAAGTCCAAGAGAGCGGGGTGAAGGCATAGGGATCTACCTTGTCTTGAAATCGCCACACACATAAATTTATTTATACTTTAATTTTAAAAAGATCAATGTTAAATTCGATTAAATATAATTAATTGAATTTTCTTTCAGAAATTTCTGAAGCAACATCCATGTGCTTTAGAGCTTTATTGTATCTCCATATTTTATTTTTCTTAAAAACACATTTTATCCATGGTGCTATCTGACCACAGTTTATTTTTTAAGTATACTTCAATAAGAGCTGAGGATACAACACTGCTCAAGGCCAGAGAGCTTCTTTTCTTGGGACTTAGGCAGAAACACGTGTATCCAGCAGCTCTGTCTCAAGCAAGAATGTGTGACTATTTCAAATCCATCCTCTCAACAAAACAGTGGAGTTTGTGTATGAAAAAGCCACTCTGTTAGAGTACACAGCACCATGTTCACCTGTTTTTTCTTTTAATGTTCAAAATGTATAAACCGGTATCATCTTCATTTTATAGTGGATCTATGAGAATTGGAAAAGACTTTATTCTTTTTACAAAGAAGGAAGAAACAATGACCTGTGTGTTTTTGTCTCAGACATTCTGTGAACAAGAAGGTCTTAGTGAGGTGAGATTTGATATTTTCTTTCAGTTCCGTGGTAGTAGTATTACTTTAAATTTATCCTATTATTTAGAAACTTAGGAATATGGAAAAATGGAGGGTATAGTGGAAAACCTGGGGTTGTGGGAGGCCTGTCCAATTGACATTTCCTTGAATGGACTTTTAACTCCTAGGTAGTTATCAGAACTGTATTATCGTTATCCAGATGCCCAAATTTTCAAGAATAAGAAGTCCCTTTTGGTATACTGAGCTTTTTAGAAGAAGCCTGAAAAAACTTGTCACAATTTGTGCCATAAATGAATTATAATTTTGAAGTTAATAAAATAATGAATGCAGAGACAATTTAAAGAAAATGAGTGTAAGATAGACTTAAAGCTCAAAATCCAAAATACCCATTGTCATTGTCAATTCCAACTCATAGCAATCCTACTGACTCAATGACCATAATTTCACCTCTCTTTGATGATCCAGAAGACATTTTATCCATTTGAAATGCCTTGAAATTTATTATTTTTAACATAAATTATTCAATTCAACTGGTTCACATTGAGTAATTTCTATTTGTCCCGTGTAGGTCCTGTGGAAAGTGGAAAAGAATCAAAAGACCTTACTATCATCAAATAGTTTTATACAGAATAAGACAGACACAGGCTATTGTCAAGTGTCATTGAATTGGTTCTGACTAATAGCAAATGTGTATAGGCTTTATGAGACTGGAAATCTTGGTGGTAGAAGAAAGCTTCCTCATTCTCCTGAGGAGCACCTTGTGAGCTTGAACCATAGGCCTTGTGGTTCACAGTCCAGTGCATATCTTAAAGAGCTACCATGCTCCCAAGGTAGACACACAGACATGATGAAATAACAAAACAGAAGTATTTACAAAGGAATACTGCTCTATGAGAATGTGGTGCAGCTATTGTATGTCAAAAGAGATGATATGGATGGAGAGATAGACAACCTTGAGTGGCCAACTTGAATTTTATCAAGAGTACATCTCAAAGGAGCAAAAGCTAGTAATGGGGAAGTAAGGTGCAGCAAACCTTGGATTTAGAAAGGAATTTGGGACTTAGGGGTTCACTGTGGAGATGTGGAGACAGCTCAACATGGATCCTACATGCCCATGGAGTAGTAATAGGATAGGAACAGTCTAGGACACAGAGAATGTCAGATCAGGAGACTGGCCTGAGGAAAGTGATGATTTAAGTATTTGTGTGTATAAAGAGAAATTAAACAAATGTTGAGGTTTTGCCTTTCCTAGAATGGGGTATTTCCTTTTTAAAAATTTTAAAATAAAAGCAATAACCCCTTTCTCAATTCTACTTCTTTGAAAAAGCAACCTCTTTCAATATATTCAGATTATTCATTTGGTGTTACCTACATATCTTTGGGAGTCCTGGTGTGGCGCTGTGGGTTAATGCACCAGACTGCAAAGCAGTTTGAACTGCAAGGTCGGCAGTTCAAGCTTACCAGCTGTTCCTAGGAAACCCTATAAAGGGTCGCTATGGGTCAGAACCGACTCAACAGCACTTAACAACAACTGCATATCTTTGGAGTCCTGGTATGGTACTATAAGATAAGCACTGAGCTGCTGATGGCAAGGTTGGCATTTCAAACTAACGAACCACTCCTCAGAAACCCTGTACAGGATTACTATGAGTTAGAATTGATTCCATGGTACTTAACAACAAAAACAACATATCCTTAGGTAGCCTGTTTATATTGTTTGTTCTTGATTTGTCTTGGACATTATATATTAACAACTCACTATAAAAGAGGAATATTTAACTATCTTTCCCCTCCTACTCCTTCCACTCTCCCACAGAACATATTTCTATTATAATTTTGGTTATGTTAATATTCAACACTTACAAGACTTCTTGTTGTTAGGTGCCACTGAGTCAGTTCTGACTCAGCAACCCTATGCACAATCGAACAAAACACTACCCTGTCCCACACCAATCTAAAAATCATTATGCTTGAACTCATTGCTGATGCCCCTGTGCCAATACATCTTACTGGGGGTCTTCCTTTTTATCTGACCCTCCACTATGCCAAACATAATGTCCTCTGCTTATATATCCTTCTCTGATTGTTCCCTCCTGATACTATATCTTAAGTATGAGAGATGAAGTCTCATTATATTCATTTGTAAGGAGCATTCTGACTGTACTTCTTCCAACACAGCTATGTTTGTTCGTCAAGTACTTTTAATATTCTTCTACATTACCATAACTCAATTGCATCAGTTCTATGGTCTTCCTTATTCACTGTCTAACTTTCACGTGCATATGAGGCTATTGAAAATACCAGGGTTGGGTCAAGTACACCTAAGTCCTCAAACTGATATTTTTCCTCTTGTACACTTTTAAGAATTGTTGTGCAGAAGATTTGCCTAGTGAAATATGTCATTTGATTTCTTGACTGCTGCTTCCATGAGTGGGGATAGTGGATCCAAGTACAGTGAAGGTTTTGACAACTTCTATCCTTTCTACATTTATCTTGATGCTATTTATTGGTCCTATGGTAAGGATTTTTATTTTCATTATTCGAGGTGCAATCCGTAATGAAGGCTGTGGTCTTTGATTTTCATCAGTAAGTATTTTAAGTCCTCTCAACTTTCATCAAGGAAGGTTGTTTCATATGTAAATAGCAGGTTGTTAATGACTCTTCATTCAATCCTGATGCCACAATCTTCATAGAATTCAGCTTCTCGGATCATTTGCTCTGTGTACAGATTGAACAAGTATGGTGAAAGAATACAATTATCATGTACACTTTTCCCTGTTTTTGAATCATTTAGTGCCCCTTTGTTCTGTTTGAACATAAACCAAGAGGCAATTGTTAAAACAGAACAAGGAGATATATAAAAGGTATGTTTTACAGTTGTTGCCTCTTGGTCTATGTACAGGTATACAATGCACTCATGAGTACAATGAAGTATTTTGGAATACCCATTCTTTGCAATGTTATCCATAGCTTGTAATGATTCTTATAGTTGAAAGCCTTTGCATAGTCAATAAAACTCAGGAAAACATCTTTCTGGTATTCTCCGCTTTCATCCAAGATCCAATGATCTCTCTCATTCCATGTCTTTGTTTTATTATAGCGTTAACCTCTGGCAATTCCCTGTCAATGTACTGTTGCAACTTTTTTTGAATTATATTTGGTAAGAATTTACTTGCATGTGATACCAGTGATATTGTCCAATGATTTCCTCATTCCATTGACTCACTTCTTTTTGGAATGGACACAAATATGGATCTCTTCCAATTCCAAATGTAGCTGTCTTTCAAATTTTCTGGCATAGGTAAGTGAGTGCCTTCAGTGCTGCATCAATTTGTTGAAAGATTTCAATTTATATTCCAACAATTCCTCAAACTTTGTTCTTTGCCAATGCCTTCAGTGTACCTGAACTTCTTTCTTCAGGACCATTGGCTCTGGATCATATGCTACCTATTGAAATGATTGAACATCAATAATTTCTTTTTGTCACAGTGGCTTGTGTATTCCTTCCACCTTCTTTTGATGCTTTCTGTATCATTCAGTATTCTTCCCATAGAATACTTCAGTATTGTAAGTTGAGGCGTGAATTTTTCTTCAGATCTTTAAGCTTGGGAATTCCTGAGTGTCTTTTTCCATTTTGTTTTTTTTTTAACTACAGGTCTTTGAACAGTTCATTATAATACTTGGCTTTGTCTTCTTGAGCTGCCTTTCAGAATTTTCTGTTCAGCTTTTTTCTCTCCTCATTTCTTTCATTTACTTTAGCATCTCTATGCTGGAGAGTAAGTTTCAGATCCTCTTCTGACATCCATTTTGGTCTTTTCCTTCTTTCTTGCCTTCTTAATGATCTTTTGCTTTCTTCCTCTATGATGTTCTTGATATCATCATGCAACTCCGCTGGTCTTCAGTCATTACTGTCTAATGCATCAAATCTATTCTTGAGAGGATCTATAAATTCAAGTGGGATATGATCAATGCAGTATTTTGGGTTTTGTGGGATTGTTTAATATTTTGTCAGCCTCAGTCTTAATTTGCTTAAGAGCAATTGATGGTCTGTTCCACAGCCTGTCCCTGGCCTTATTTTACCTGATGGTAAGGAACTTTTCCACCTTTTCTTCCCACTGATGTATTTAATTTGGTTTCTATATATTCCATCAGTTGAGGTCCATGTATAATGATCTTTTATGTTATTTTTAAAAGGTATTTGCATTGAATAACATATTGGTCTTGCAAAATTCTATCATGTGATCTCCAGCATCATTTCTGTCAACAGGGCCATGTTTTCCAACTATTGATCTTTCCTCTTTGCTTCCAACCTTTGCATTCCACTAGTAATTATCAATATATCATGATTGCATGTTTAATCAATTTTAGACTAAACAAATTGTCAGAATTCTTCAATTTTATCATCACTGGATTTAGTGGTTGGTGGGTAAATTTGAATAATATTTGGTATTAATTTGTCTTCCTTGTATGTGTATGAATATTATCCTATCACAGGCAGCATTATATTTCAAGATAGATCTTGAATTGCTCTTGTTGATTATGATGCTATGTCATTCCTCTTCAATTTATCATTCCTATTATAGTAAACCATATGATTGTAGGACTCAAAATGGCCAATACAAGTCCATTTCTGTTCACTGATGCCTAGGATATAGATGTGTATACATTCCATTTCATTATTGACAACTTCAAAATTTCCTAGATTAATACTTCATATAATCTATGTTCCTATTATTAATGAATGTTTACAGTTGTTTCTCTTCATTTTTAGTTGAGACCCATCAGTAAATGTTGTTGTTAGGTGCCATCGAGTTGGTACCAACCCATAGTGACCTTATGCACAGAAGAATGAAATGGTCCTAAAATAATTACTCTATTAGGATCATCATGGTCAACTGCACTTTGATGAGGCGGCTCTTCTCCAGTTGTATTTCAAGTGTCTTCCAACCTGAGGGACTCATCTTCTGGCACTATATCTGATAATTCTGGTGCTGATAGTG